ACCACAATCACTTCATGCACATGCTAGTTTTTTTTTTTCTTTCTTTTTTCATTTCTGTTATAATTTGCACCAGTGAGGTTAAAACCAATTTCATTATATTTAAGTACAATAACAATAAAGATTATACTTATATGAATTATATGTATCCTTACACATACCACTCAGACAATTCAAGCAGTGTACTGGGTCAAGCAGCGATCATCAGCCTGTACTTGAGACATTGCAAGGCCGCTCAGATTTAAGACAATATAACATAGCTGACTGATGGCTCACCAAAAAGGTAGAGGTGGTCCAAAATAAAAAGTTAATTTGGGCCAAAGTTGATACTAAGGCAATAATAGATTGCCTTAAAACAGAAAATGCTACTAAGTGGGCTAGAACAATCCAATCATCTACTACTGACTGGCTGTCAGCCTTCAATGCATTCTCTAATGTCTGTAATATTCTAAAGAAACACTTAACAACGAAACCTGCTACAAAAAGAGCCCGAGTGGGTAGACCCTGTTGGTTTGATCCTGAATGCCAGTCACTGAAAAAGAAATTGAAGGCAGCCATGAGGCTTGCCCAAAGGAATCCTACTTCTCCTATATAAGCTGAGATGTTGCACACAAGAAGGGAATATTTAAAAAATTATAACATTAAAGAAAAAAAGTTTCAGTCTGGTCAGAACTCGAGTTGGCTGCCAAAAGTTATAACTCAGTAATATTTTGGCACTCTGTAGCTGGTGTAGCTGGTGTCCTGAAGGAATGGAGATTTGCGTTTGATATACCAATCTCTGCTGAGGACTGGGCGAATTATTATCAGTGTTTGTTTGGTTCCACAGAACCTGTAGAGAAACTGTCTTTAAACAGTAATCTAGTAAACCCTAGAATCCCCCCCCCCCCATTGGCCACTAGTCTGGGAAAAGGAGATACAATCCATAAGTCCCCAGGTGAGGATTTTTTACCAGCAGAATTATTCAAGAAATTTCCCAATTGGTGGGGTCCAGTATTGGTAAGTCTTTTTATACACATAAATAAATAACACCTGCCATATACCAGATGGGTGGAAGATGGTAATAGTTGTTCCAATATATAAAAAAGGGAATAAAAAGGATCCTAGTAATTATAGGCCCATTAACCTAATTGACATTGCAGCAAAAATATATGCTAGGTACCTTTTGAACAGAATTGAAATCTGGGTAGAGGAAAACAATATCTTCACAAAAGAACAAGCAGGTTTTAAACAAAGCTTATCTAATATTGATAACTGCTTTATCTTAAACCATCTAATTGCCAAATATGCATATAAGAGGAGATCCCTGTTTGCTGCTTTCATAAACCTTACAGCAGCATTTAATATGGTAAACAGAGAAGTACTCTGGAGTAAATTGACATCTCTTAAAATAGAAACTAGACTCCTGGCTTTCATTAAAGCCCTTTACACAAGTACCTGTTTGAGGGTGCAGTATGGGGTTAATGGGGCTCTGACTAATAGGATTCACACAAATAAAGGAGTAAGGCAAGGGTGTATCCTGATCCCATTATTATTTAGTTTATATACCAACAACGTGCCAGCGTTAATGAAGGATCCCATGGTACACAAATCGACAAGCCTAAATACTTGCTGTAACAACTTGCTTTATGCTGATGATATGATTTTATTATCATATTCACTAGTAGGATTATGTAGGCTATTAAGAAGATTCAGCTCTTATTGCCAGGATAACTCCCTAATCATCAGTAAATCTAAATAAAAAATAATGGTGTTTGGAAAACACCATCAGAGACATAAGTAGCAATTAGATGGTGAACCAATTGAACAGGTCAACACCTTTGTATATTTAGGTGTAACTTTTTCCAAGACTGGATCTTGGGCTTGCCATCATCAGCAGAGTACATTCAGAGCAAAAGCCTGTTTGAATTTACTGCTTAAACTAAAGAACCATAGTTACCCAGGTTCCCTAGCCCCCTTAATTAAGGTTTATAAAGCTAAGGTTACCCCTGTGCTCATATATGTAGGCTTGGGGGTCTATATTTAACCACAGTTCTAGAACAAACACAGTCCCGGCACATGAGATGTATTTTGGGTGTAGATCCAAGAACATCTGCTGAAGCAGTTAGAGCTGAATTGGGAATTCATACAATTCATGCACAGATATAGGAGATTCCATTCTATACCCTACAATGAGCACTTCTGCATTTGCAGAGCGGCAGAGGTAGAAGACGTCACATCCTATTTGATTGTTGCTTGTGTAAGGGGGTGAGAGACAGGTACCTTGGTCTATATACCAAACAAATAAACCATTGGAATCCCCATATCAAAACAATTTACCTTATGTGCGGCCAGAACTTAAAAATAACATTTAGTACAGCACAGTACTTAAACAAAATGGTTTGGTCGAGATCTGCATATGTGAGACTGATTGGGGTAGATTTCAGAGGTTACACCGAAATATAATAATATCATATTTGATCTATATCTTAAATTATTGTATTCTATTCCAATTTCATTTTAGACTATATTTTATTCCAATTCCATTTTAAATTGCTTTTATTGAATTTTAGTAATTATTTGTTTCTGGAACTTTGCACTTTATTGATTGCTCAAGGGCTAATCAATAAAGATTCAATGTCAATGTCATATTTTAAATGTCCAAATCAGTCTGAAGTCACTCTAGAGTTGAGCAAATCCCCAACCGTATTTTAACATTTTTGAAAATTTGAAGACAGATGTAATCAACTATGTAGGCATAGTAAAGACTTGGTATAAACAAATACAAATATACTGTCAGCCTCTGCTTTGCTGCTGCTTTGGCTGCCATTGTAACGGGGGGGCATGGTATTTGGGAGGGGAATCATGATGTGCTGGAGGAAGATTCTAGANGGGGGCAATATGCTGACTCTGTAAACCGCTTAGAGAGGGCTGAAAGCCCTATGAAGCGGTATATAAGTCTAACTGCTATTGCTATTGCTATTAACAAGCTAGGAGCAATCCTGTGAAGAATGTCCATGTACTGGAGAGGATGTCACACAGAAGACAATCAGTATCTGTTATGAATCATTCCAGAATTAAAATATAAAACAATTTCTTTAAATTGCAGGAGGCAGATTCCAGTGTTAGAAAAACTTCCTAGTGGAACCAATTGCCCAAAGAGATGATAGACTCACTTTCAATAGATATATTCAGGCACAGGCTAGACAATTTGTATTCATGCAATGAGCATGGTATTGGAATTAATGCTCTAAAAACTCCTTCCAACGTTATTCTTCTTGTAATTTGTTATGTTCATTAAGAAGAATTAAGTCTAGGGCAGTGAGTTCTTTTTGCCATCTTCTGCCTTCAGAAAAATGATGTTACTACACAAGAAAAACAATTGTGAATGTTTCATTCTCAACTAAAAGATATGTCCAGCAGAGAACAGAAGTGTTCAAATTTTTCACTATTAAGAGTATATATAATCTATCAGTTTCAAGGACAAAGCATATATGTATGCTAATCCATAATGCTTTTATAAAAGACCAAAGAAAAGAAGCTTTTTTTTACTATCCTGGAGGCATATATGGCACTAAGTCTCTTTACAGATAACCAGTAGCTATCTTGTACAGTTCTAATTTTTTTTCAGAAATGTATGTCCAGTTGAAAACTTCCACACTATTGCAAATAACCAGTTTTATTTGCAAACACTTAAGATTCTTTTGATTAATTTTCAATGGTGAATATTAATCTAAAGTGATTCATAATATTTGTTGAAATAACACTGATGTGCAGTTAGTAACAGGTTTTTATTTATCTAGGGGGCAGTACTGGCAGCTGTATCAAGCCACAAATTCAATTCCTTCTATGGTGATCCCCCTGAAGAACTGCCAGATTTCTCGGAAGACCCAACTTCCTCAGGTACTTTTATCAAAAGTATATTTAGCTATGACATAGTTTTACAGATGCTTCCAGAACCAGGTAAGACCTCATTAAGATAAATTTGGCTTTACAGAATTTTTCCCATAGACCATACAAAAAAAGTCCTTCGGGATTGGGCGGCCTATAAATTTATTAAATCAAATCAAAATCAAATCAAACCCTGTTTCCCCAAAAATAAGACCTCCCGGATAATAAGCCCAATCGGGGTTTTGAGCGCATGTGCTCAAATAAACCCTCCCCCCAAAATAAGCCCTCCCCGAAAATATTGCAACACAGCAGCAGCCATGAGGTGATCACGCTCGCCGCCTCCTGCACCTCAAAAATAATAAGACCTCCCAAAAAATAAGGCCAAGTGCTTATTTTGGAGGTCAAAAGAAAATAAGACCCTGTCATATTTTAGGGGAAACACGGTAAATTGTAAACTAGGTTTTTGTATGTATGTATGTATGTATGTATGTATGTATTTTTATATTTTTAACTCATTTCTAATCTATTTTTAATCTATACCGGACTTTTATAAAAACACATATAGTGTGGCTACCATTCGTTTTAGATACATTTTAACAATACAAGCCAGGATTTTTAAGAATGGGAAAAAGGAGAAAGAAACAGCACTCAGCAGCATAGTTCATCCAAGCCATTGAAGCAGCAGAAAATTGAAGATTATACTGCAAACAGGCAGTCTGTTCCAGTAAGTAACTCATCTGCAGTCGCCTTATCAAATAAATTTAATTTATGTGACTCATTGGAATGGGACTTACAAACTGAACTTGAAAGCAAACAGAATGTAGAACTGTCCTCCCTCTCAGAGAATGGTTCCCCTCCTTGGAACTCAGCAGCAACCTTCCTTGCACAGGAGGGAGATGTAATAAATTTAAAGGAGGGAAATGTGACAGATTTCCTCTCTAGACAATGTTTGCTTACAGCTCAAAAAGAAAACACTAAGTCAGGCAAAGGCCTAAGAGATGACCAGTATAACTACAGTCTGCAAACTAACCAGGTTACCTTGCACGCATATGACAACAGAGTGAATAGAGGGCGCTGTTAGGCTGTCCCTGAACCAGCTGCTCCACTGTGAATTCACTCTGATAGATCTACTACATGCAGAGTGGCTGCCAGTGAGAAGGCAATGTATGAGAATTCTCCTATCGTTCAAGCCCACAATTCTCTCTATGCTCTTTAGAATGAAGCCCTTTCTAAGCACCTTTTCAATATTTCCAATATGGGTCTTCTGCTCAAAGTGTGCCCACTCCTGAAACAGCATAACCAAGAGGGAACTGTTGCTTTAAATCCAGACTCCAACAGCCCTCACACTGCTAAGCCTGAGGCTGCTGCAGCTGAATTAACCCTGAGAAGGCAAAGGAGTGATATACAAACTGTGTTACCCACAGCTGCCGAAACTGCTAAGAATGTGCCAGAAGAAATGCTGATTGACCTATTCAGTGCATTGCCTGAATCTGAATTAGTAATATTATTCAAAGATTGGATGATCTAAAAGAGGCTCTGACAACAACTCAGTCTACAGCAAAACTTCTATTTAATTTGGCTCCACTAATCGCTCAACCTTGTGACAATATATTTAACCATCAATCTGCCTTTAGCTCAATAGTAAAAAAAGGTAGTGTCACACAGGCTGACAGGGGTAACTGCACTGACTGACCCAGACTCTGAGAAACAGCTGAAAGAAAAAGGGCTTCATCACACAGTACCCCCTAAGACAACAAACACTAAGAATATAATCAAGCTGCCATCCTCATTTGACTTAGAAGTTTCCACAACATCTTCTCACAAGATAAATCCTCAGCTACATCCCTCCATAAATGGACATAAATCCACATTTGTAGAGCTAAGCTGGTATACCTGCCTATTTGAAAAAATCTCATTCTTGGAGCAAGGGCAGAAGGACACTGGCAATTAAGATATAGAGGAGCATCAACAAGTTCTGCAACCATGAAATATTGAATCTCACAACAATTGTGTTAATATGGGAAGCATAGATGATATCAACCTGGCTCCAACATCAAGTTGACATCCAGAATTTTTACCAGCTAGCCAACCAACCAAGCCAGACCACCTTGCATCCAGGAACTCCATACAGATGATGACCTGGAACGTAGCTGGCTGGAAAGGGAGGGTTGATAGTGGACTAATCCCTAGATTTGACGTAATAGCCTTACAAGAAACCTGGTTAACTTGTGGACAAACCAGTACAACTGCCAGGCTTTCAGGGATGGGCCTCCCCAGCCCAAAAAAACAAAAAACAAAGGGAGACACTCTGGAGGGCTATGCATTCTTATAAAGCAAGAGTTGCAATGGCAGGGGAAGAAACTATATAACGAAGATAAGTATTCGTACTTCCTAGCTGTCAAATTTGAATATGAAAAGTTCAAGTTAATACTGGTAAATGTGTATATCCCTCCAAACACATCCAAGTATTATAACTCTGAATACTGGATTGGCTTGGAAGTTATCCTAGGTCCCTGATGGTAAACCTATGTGGCACACGGAGCCATATCTGCTGGCATGCAAGCCGACAGCTCCAGTGCGTATGCGCACGCCAGCCAGCTGATTTTTGGCCTTGGAGGGCTGGAGGAAGCCATTTTCATCCTCCCTGGCTTTAGGAAAGCCTTCGGAGGCTGGGGAGGGCAAAGAACAGACCCAACAGGCCACAGAACTTCTGGTTGGCCCGTTGGGACTGTTTTTCGTCCTCCCCAGCCTCCAGGCGCTTTTGCTGAAGCCTGAGGAGGGCAAAAATGGCCGCCCCCGCCCCACCCCAGAGGAAATACCAAGCTCAGCTTGGAGGCGAGTAGTGCAGCGCTTTGGGGGGGGGGGTTATGCGTTCATACACATGGAGGTGTGTGTGCTTTGCATTATGGGTGCTGGCAAACGCCCTTGCATTTTTGGCACCCAACAACAGGTTAACCATCACTGTCATAGATGATATATCTGTATTGTATCCTCAATCCATAGTGGTATTACTAGGAGATTTGACTGCTAGGTTGGGTCCCTCTTTGTATGAGCTCCATCAGAAGAAGGGAGTCCCAGGTGAGTTTTTGATAACCATTCTCAGTGGAGAGAGAGAGAGAGAGAGNTTCTTTCCTGATTATTAAATGAAGTCGCATCTGACATATACTTTTTATACAAAGTTTCTGCTTATTAAAAGTTGCATTATATTATTAATATTGACAACTCCACTACCAAAGAAAATAACTTGGTCATTTGTTATAACACATGAGAAATAAAGGCAATTATCTTGCTCTTTTAAAATACTAGTACAAAAAGAAAAATGAAAGTTATTTTTCGCTGTTTTTTGTCTTCTGTGACTTTAATTGTAGCCATACTTACACTGGTGTTTGGAGAATATTTGAAACAGCAGAAAGTTTTCTTCTGTAACAGTCTCAGTGCAAATCTTGTAGGAAGGCATAGTAGGCAGACTTTTGAGGATATTTGTACCCTCTTGCATTTTTTCCCCCTCATAGCCCAATTGAAGCAAATTCTTATTTTTTCTTTCCCATGATCTTTTGCCTTATTAGAGGAATAAGAAAGGTAGCCCTTGACTTACAATGGACCCGCAAAAGGTATTTAAGTCCAAAGGTCGAACAGCCCTCCTCCCCCCTGCAGTCACTTGACTGCATTTTGGGTACTCAACAATTGACCCAAATTTAGGACCACAACAGCTTTATGTATGTCAGTAGCCCCTGAAGCCAGCTCAGGGTCACCTGCATAGCTGAATTGGCAGCAGGCCCCACCCACAAGGACATAGTAGCTTTGCTTATGTAGTGTCTGCAACAAACTGAGATTCCTCAGGTGGCTAACTGGGTTGGAACCAATTTAGGCCTCCTGACCCACAGCAGATTTATATGTACCAGAGAACCCAGGGCCTCTCCAACCTGTTGAAGCAGTCCCTCACTCCACTTAACAACCCACATAGGTGATTGACAATAGCAAATAGATGAGCCAGCATAGTGGTTGTCATATGACATCTTATTTAACAACTGTTTCATTCAGCAACTGAAATTCTAGGCTCAAATGTGATCATAAATCAAGGATCACCTGTAGTTGGAAATCATAAAAATAGTGAAACTAATATGATTTACTAATATAACTATGCTTGCTAAGCTGAGCAAGCATAGTTATATTAGTCTATATCTCTTTCTTTGTGCATTTCAGTGATGGGATTCAGGTGGTTCGCACCAGTTCAATCTTTGTAGAGTTCAGCAAACCTGTTGAATAGTGTCCATTTCAATCCCTCTGGCCCGCAGTGCCTCAGCCTGGCTCGCTGTGCCTGCGTATAAGGCAGCAGCCAAGGGCAAAAGTGCCAGTGGGGTGCCAGAAAGTCAGGAAGGATGCTGAAGTGAGTGGGCATCTTGCCTGCAGTGCCCATGCCAGCTGCCCCTTCCCAGCCAGAGCTGGAATGCCACTGGGTTTAAGTGTCAATAGATTCCGGCATTCCCTCTGGCGGTTCTGAGCAACTGGAGACAGACGGCCCATTTCAGCGCCTGGCACCCAGATGCCCTCACTTCCCCAAAACATTTTTTTTGCCTACCTGATTTCCAGGTCCATCGCGTTTCTCCGTCCCATTTCTCACCATCATGTGCAGGGAAACAAAAGTTTGTGGGACTACAAAAAAAAGTTCAGTCAATTCCAACTTCTCATGAAAAGAAAAGATCTCACAAAGTTAGAATTGATTGATTGAATTTTTTTTTAGTCCCACAAATTTGTTTCCCTGCACACAATGATGAAAAACGGGATGGAGAAGCGTGACTGACTTGGAAATCAGGTAGGCAAAGAAAGACTTGGGGGAAGCGAGGGCATCTGGACACCAGGCACTGAAACGAGCCTGTCTCTGTCTCCAACAGTTGCCCAGGCCTGCCAGAGGGAAGGCATCTACTGGCACTTAAAACGCAGTGGCATTCTATCTCCGGCCCGGAAGGGGCAGCCAGCATGGATGCTGCAGACATGATGCGGCGAGAAATGCAATGCAGCTGGAAATGAGGTAGGCAAAGAAATGCTTGCGGGAAGTGAAGGCATCTGGGTGGTGGTGGGTGGGGCAACCTCTTCTGCCCACAAAAACCTCATCTTTGACAGCCAATGCAGAAAGGCAGAGAAAGCACTGCCGGGAAGGCCAGTCGGCCCAGGAGTTGGAAATATCATTCCTTCCCCGTCCCACTCCTCCCCATCTGTCACCCCCAATTTGCATCAATAAGGCGGGGGGATGATTTTGGTTTGTTCTGTAATATGAACATATTATCTCTTTTTCCACATACAGCTCTTCTCTTGATGCATGTGCAGCTCAAAATACATAAAGTCCTCATACATTAAGGAGAATCCACATAATATATACAATTTTAGTAATATTTAAGAAAAAAAGCTTTCAGAGAAGTTTTATATTAATAGCAATTGATTTATTTCCATACCATAGCTTTAGTTACTCATGGTTTTCTGCATAACCATTAATAGTCGTAAATGATCATGGTTTGCTTTTCCTGATTCTGACTTGTTCTACCACTCTGTCCTCTGCCTGCTCAATCTTATACATAGGGTATTTTATAGGGTATTTTCCCCTTTCTGCTGTGAAAATACTTTTTCTTTTCAAATCTGACTGAGCAGAAAAGTTTGCGCTCAATGTGCTAAAGTAGATGGGTTACCTCTATCAGGTTTACAGGTTTCTACAAGAGTGGTGTTTCCCATCTTGCTATGTAATTTATAGGCTGGAATTAATGCTGTTAAATACAGTGAGATTTCTGATTACGTGATAGTTATAAGATCAGGCAAAATCTGTCTCTTTACTGCCATCTAGAAATCACTCTAACCCAGATCTGATAGCTCCAGAATAATTGTGGATAGAATTGATCTATTACATCATTCTTTTATATATGGCACTAATCTAATGTTAAAATATAATTCATTTGATTATGTATTTGTGAATGGAGTGGGAATATGTTTTAATCTCCTAATTTCTGATTACCTAGTATGGAGTAAAATGAAAATATCTTTGGGGGCGAAATTGCTAAAGACAAGTCCTGTTTTGTAGTTAGTACTACAATCAATGAAGAATTTCTATAAATAAATGTTATAATTTAAAAAAAAGACAATTATTATATAGGTCCTTCGTGCTTGTGATGGGCATCATTTAAATTTTCACATTTTCTGAAGAAATTAAAAGGTATAAGTGCTACTAAAATATTAATGGATTCAATATTTAGCTACATTTATGTTTTTATTTTATCTGTTTTGCATATACAGTATGTGTATATGTATTTATAATACTTCATTTCTGAAATGAAAGTAGTACATTATTTTGTATTTGTATTTATTTTATTTTGTAAGAAAAGAGTTTAGTTAAGTTTTAACTGACAGTAAAATATGAAAAATAAGCCATACGTATGAAGTTCAAGGTAGCAATTTCATGTATATACATACATATAATTACAATAAAATTGGTTGGTTGCATCACTTTATAGTTTTATAGGTATTAAGTTCAAGGTAGCAATTTCATACGTGTGTGTGTGTGTGTCTGTGTGTGTTCATATTCCTATAAATACAATAACATTAGTTGGTTGCATCACATTGCATTTCTGACATTGTACCTGAATTCATTCACAGTACTGAAATTGTTATCATAGTTTTATTGGGGTTATTATTACTTGTTTTTAGAACATAAATTTTTATTTCAAATTTAATAAAAGCAGTATTGATTTTTAATTGTTAATTGAGAATATTAAACTTATGATTAAGCCAACTTTAATTTCACAGATTGATGTATAATTTTTGATTTTAATAAATTGATCTCAATAAAGTTATTAACAGTTGCAACCTATATTCATTAAAATATGTAAATCTGTGATATACGTGTGTTAACTGTTTATATAACAAAATAAATGAGCTTCCTCACTTAAACATAGTATAACAGGCAGTAAGTATTTTGTACTTCCTTAAATTTCAAATCTAATAATTATTAAAAAGTTGGATGTGCAGCACTGTGAAAATATAATGTAAATCCTTGTCATATACTGCATTTTTTTCAACTTAATAAAGTGTGGTGGGTTTTAATTTATTTTGTTTTGTTGTGGCTATGCTAATGCTTCTAATTGCAGCTTTTACAATTGTTTTGAAATCCTCATACTATTTGTTGTTTGTCTAAATGCTGCCTTCCTGCTAGGACTTCTAGCTGCAGAAAGTAGGTATCCCTTTGTTTTCCACTAAAGCTATGCATTTAGCTATTATGTTTGGCTTTGCGTGATTAAATCAGCTTTTTCCTTGCTCAACATTTTCTAATTTTAATACTATCTAAGCAATTAAAGAATAAAGAACAGGAAATTTTTATTTCAATATGCTCATGGTAGAAGCTGAATGCAGGTAGTCCTCAACTTACTACCAAAATGTATGTTGCTAAGCAAGACATTTGTTAAGTGAATTTTGCCCCATTTTACCACCTTTCTTGTCACAGTTGTTAAGTGAATCACTGCAGTTGTTAAGTTAGCAACATGGTTGTTAAGTGGATCTGACTTCCCCATTGATTTTGCTTGCCTGAAGGTCACAAAAGCTGATCCTCAGACACTACAAATGTCACAAATAAGAACCAGTTGCCAAGCATCCGAATATTTATCATATGACCATGGGGATGTTGCAATGATTATAAGTGTGAAAAACAGTCATGTCACTTTTTTCAATGACATTGTAACTTTGAATGGTCACTAAATGAATTGTTGTAAATTGAGGACTATCAGTACAATTAAAATTATTTGTTTTAAAAGTTTAATTTTAGGGAAGAATTCTTTTTCAAACAAGGTTGCAGCAACTGTTCATGATAGATACTTTTAGAGTATCTGTCTCTTAATGGCACAAGAAAGAAAAGCTTAAATCTTTATAGAAAACAGGAGAGCATATGTTCAAATCCCACCTTAGTTATCAAAGGCCAGTTCAGTGACTTTTGGTCAATCACAGTCTTTCAAGCTAACCTACCTCACAGGATTCTTGTTGTGGGGAAAGCAGGATGAGGAAGAGGCATTGGATGTTTGTTGCCTTGAGTTATTTGTAAAAAATAATAACAGTATATAAATAAATAGATAAAAGAAGAACAGACTCACAGAATCCAAAAAACTGTAGATATATATTTATATACAAATATTAACAACTGAGCATTACTTTCTGGTGTTTATAATTTCATGATTTAATGCAGGTATTACTTAACTTCTTTCTTACCAAAATGAAATTAAAAAGCTTCATTAAAATATTACTATTCTTCCATTTTTATTACTGAGCAGTAATGCTAGAGATTGTGCAATATCTATCTAAAATATTCTTGATCTGACTTTGATCTTTGATGGAACAAGAGGATCATAACTGAGACACATTCAAACATACATTATATTAAAAGGCATATTACTTATGTTAAATCTCCATGTCTGTAAAAAGTTAGTAATAGTTTGAATGAATAACTTTTATATGAGTGGCATGAATGTTAGCAAGATCTATCTTCCTCAACCATTTTTTATAACAGAAGTATTATTCATCATCTATTTAAATGGGCAATATGTCTTTCATTTGAGATCTCAGAACAATTTTATGTTTCTTCACTGTCGACATGCAATTTATAATATATTCTACTGTGTTTCCCCGAAAATAAGACAGGGTATTTTCTTTTGACCCCCAAAATAGGCGCTTGGTCTTATTTTCAGAGAGGTCTTATTATTTTTGAGGTGCAGGAGGCAGCGAGCGTGGTCACCTCTGGGCTGCTGCTGTGTTGCAATATTTGGGGGGAGGCTATTTTTCGGGTGAGGGCTTATTTTAGCGCAAGTGCTCAAAAGTTCGATTGGGCTTATTATCCGGGGAGGTCTTATTTTTGGGGAAACAGGTTATTAGAAACCTTTGTTCAGAACTATTAATAAGCACTACTGTAATTGAATACAATTGCCCAATTAACTTGATACATTTAAAGAAAAATGTTAGGAAATCTTGTTAAAAAGATATTAAATCAAAATATACTGTGTCAATAGTATTCTTATAATGCAGTGATGCTTACCCCAAAAAAGATGAAGTAAGATTGACTGGATATTATTTATTCTTTATCAATTTGTTTTGATTTCTAGCAATTGTCTTTTATAAATGCTCATATATTCTTATTTAACCTTTTTGGTTTGGTTTAGTATAATATCATATCCAATTTTGTGGATTTTCTTTTCCTTGCTTTCTAAATATAAGGACATGATTTCCATTATTCTCTCAAATTTCTCAAAATTACAATCCATGACTTGGGAAAAAATACTTTCACTTAGTTCAACTTATTTAAAAGAGTAAGTTGTTTGTTAATATCTTCTTTATCCTGTGCATCAGAGGTCTCTCTTTTTCCATTATTTCTACTAATCCTAATTGAAATTCCCTTGTGGGATAGGCAAAATAAGCCTAGAGAAATGCATGGATGCTTCTCCCTACAGAATTGAAAAACCTATTGTTATATTACAGGTCTCACACATCACTTGAATTTGTATTTTTCTGTTAAACAAGACTACTAGTACTTCAAAGATTTAATCATAATCAAAATTGATTTATTTAAGCCATATTGAATATATAACAATGTTTTTTTTCTTCACAATAATTACAGTTATTGCAAAATTACCTTCCCCTTAGAATAGAATAACAGAGTTGGAAGGGACCTTGGAGGTCTTCTACTCCAACCCCCTGCCTATGCAGGAAACCCTACACCACTTCAGACAAATGGTTATCCAACATCTTCTGAAAACTTCTAGTGTTGGAGCATTCACAACTTCTAGAGGCAAGTTGTTCCACTGATTAATAGTTCTAACTGTCAGGAAATTTCTCCTCAGTTCTAAGTTGCTTCTCTCCTTGATTAATTTCCACCCAATGCTTCTTATTCTACCCTCAGATGCTTTGGAGAATAGTTTGACTCCCTCTTCTTTGTGGCTACCCATGAGATATTGGAACACTGATATCATGTCTCCCCTAGTCCTTCTTTCTATTAAACTAGACATCCCCAGTTCCTGCAACCGTTCTTCATATGTTTTAGCCTCCGGTTCCCTAATCATCTTTGTTGTTCTTCTCTGCACTCTTTCTAGAGTCTCCACATCTTTTTTACATTGTGGTGACCAAAACTGAATGCAGTATTCCAAGTACCAAGGC